CAGCTCAGAGCTTAGAGTTTCGAGGATGTCTCAGGCGAAACGGGCCGGACCACCTCGTGCACGGCATCTCAGAGCTCAGAGTTTGGAGGACGTCTCAGACGAAACGGGCCGGACCACCTCTCGCGCGGCATCTCGGAATGCAAAAGTGTGAGGATGTCTCAAGTGAAACGGGCCAGACCACCTCGCGCACGGCATATCAGGGCTCAGAGTTTGGAGGATGTCTCAAGCGAAACGGGCCGGACCACCTCTTGCGCGGCATCTCCGAGCCCAGAGTTTGGAGGATGTCTCAGGCGAAACGGGCTGGACCACCTCTTGCGCGGCATCTCAGAACTCAGAGTTGCGAGGATGTCTCAGGCGAAACGGGCCAGACCACCTCGCGCACGGCATCTCAGAGCTCAGAGTTTGGAGGATGTCTCAAGCGATACGGGCTGGACCAACTCTCGCGCGGCATCTGGGAACTCAGAGTTTGGAGGATGTCTCAGGCGAAACGGGCCGGACCACCTCTTGCGCAGCATTTGGGAGTTCAGAATTTGGAGGATGTCTCACGCGAAACGGGCCGAGCCACCTCTTGCGCGGCATCTTGGAACTCAGAGTTTAGAGGATGTCTCACGCGAAACGCGCAATCCCGGACAACTCAGTAACGACAGTTGCGAGGATGTCTCAGGCGAAACGACCCGGACCACCATATTTTTTTGAGGACGTCTCTGCTTTGAATTCCCTCGGCCAGAGTTAGCTTCTATCACAACAGCACCCCGTTCAGCAAGCTGTTTGGGGAAAAAAGGGCGCTCGCGATCTTGCGAATCCGGAAGAAAACCATAGTTGTCTGACAATGTTCGCTCACTTCGGCCAAATGGGCCTCTCGGGCCGCATGTCGACATCATTCGAACACCTTTGCGCGCGTGCTGGGGGGGGGCACGACCCTTGTCAAATAAGACCATGCGGGCCATTTGCGCGCCCCGGCCGCGCCCGCATGTCGAATTTCTCCCAACAAATGCATCACCGACGCGAGGATGCCGGCATCGTCGTCGGCGTGATCAGCATTGGCGCTGTCGCTGGTCTTGCCGTCGCCGTTGTTACGATCGCCACCAGCATCGCTACTACCATCATCGGGCCCTCCGATGTCGACGTTGCTATGATACCCCGCCCGCCCAAGTCTCCGACTCGCACTGACATGCCCCTTTGGAACTGCCTAGCGGTCAGCGCCACCGCGTCCTCGTCGGTCGTGCCAAGCTATCTGGCCGTTTCTCGCGTACGCACTCGCGTGCAAGCACTGCCGCAAAAATATACCAGCCAGCGCCAAACACTCATCGCAAGCGCCGCCGCATCGGTTTTGCAAACCAAGTTGCGGGTGGGTGGGTGGGATGGTTGCGCGATGATTTGAGTTGTCAGTTTCAAGTTCGGCAGGGGGAAGTGCACCACATAGATTACACCATGTATACGTAGATATATGTTTGTACAACTTCGCTATTCCACTGACAGTGCACCACGCAGCTTGCATTACAAGTATGTCACCGCGCACACTGCACCACACACATTACACCACAAATCGTGCACCAACTGCCTAACAATGTAATGTGCCACACAGGTTGCGCCACAGATGCAGCTTAACGTATACAGCTAGGACGCACGGTTTGGTGTCCGCGATGGCTACCGTAACACATCCCTATGTGTACACATCGGTTGCGAGCTACGTAGTGCACACAGCGCACGGGGCACCCGCGGGGCGCCCATGAGCGGTCACCAACTGGACGCCAGGCGAAATCCCGCCACACCCACACAGCGCACCTGGCGCCCACGAGGCGCCACTTGGGCGGTCACCAGCCAGACACTGGGCGAAGCGCCGCCGCACCCAGCGCACGAGGCGCCCGGGGCCGGCTTTTGACCCGGGCGCCGGCCGGGGTCCAGGGGAAAACCCGCCAGGGCACAGCCGATCGCGAGTAGCAGCGGCAGAGTTCGGAAGACAGAAGCACCAGAGGAGAGCACAAGGCCAGGACGCACCCGGCGGCAACCCGAAATTGGGGCCAGCCGTGAGCCAGGCGGGGGTGCCGCAAGTGCAAGAATTGAATTTAGTTCCAATCCCGTTGATCAAATTTGGTAAGCGCAAGCACTAGATAAATCCAAGTTAGGCGTTGGCAAACGAAGTTCGTACCACGACCAGCTCGATGCTATGCGGTGTACGTCCCGCGTCCACCCGACGACGCACTGCACATCTGGAGCGTTTGTTTTGCAAGCTACCAGGCGTGAGCAATGTGGCGCAAAACGCGTGATGCAATCCATGCGATGGTGTATATATATGTGTATATATACATATGCGTGTGCGTATACATATGTATATATATATATATGTATATATATATATGTTTAGTAGCTTACGGCCCCTCCCGCCACCGTGATTGGGTTGTGGGTAAGGGACCTCTTGGACATTCGTTTGGATATTTATCGTGGGAGGCCTCCCGGCGGCCTCTATGACACAGTTTTGAAGCCTCCTAGGGGGCTGTTTGAGGGCCTCTTCGGGTCTCTTTTTGGGCCTTTTAGGGGCCTCGTGGGGCCTCTCGGGCCTCCTGGGGGCATCTTGGGGCGGAAGGCCTGGATTGTTGGTTCGTGTTCCTCCTCTTGGGGCCGTCTTGGGGCCCTCATGGGCGATCTTGGGTGCCTCTTGGGCAGTGTGGGGGCCCCCCTGAACCGTCTTGGGGCCCTCTCGGGGGCCTCTTGGGCCGTGTTGGGGCGGTCTTGGGGGCCTCTGGGGCCATCATGGAGCGTGGAATGCCCGAAAATGCGAGAACGCGACAACATAGAACATCTAAAGGAAATCAATGATGTGTGCCTCTTTGGGCCCTCGTGGGGGTCCTCTTGGAGCGCTCTCGTGGCTTCTTTGGGGCCCCTCGGGCCGCCTTGGGTTCATTTTGGGCGTCTTGGAGCGCTCCTGGGCTGTCTTGGAGGCCTGCTGGGCGTTTCTTGGGGCCTTCCTGGCCTGCCGTAAGGCCTTGCGGCCTTTGGAAAATCAATACGACCGAGCCCAAGAACGCGCGGGAACCGCATGAAACACTGAGAATTTTGGCACCCAGTCCCTGGAATACCACAACTCACCAGTTCTGAGTACAGAGAACATGGAACCCTTGAGGACCTGAGGACACCCCACTTCGTGCATCGAGGCACGGTGTCGGATATAGACGCATGTCAAGCTACGCAGTGCGGGCCATGTGGTGCAAATGTGCAGAAAGCTGTGTGATGCAAGCTAAATGGAGCAGTCAGCGCTTGTGTTGCAAACTATGCGCCGCAAACTATATGATGCTTTCCATGCACGGTGCAAGAAATGTGATGCAAGGTATGAATTGCTAATTGCGTGGTGCAAGCTATGTGACGCAAGCTGTGATGCAGTCGATGTGGTGCGAGCGGCGCGGGCGCCTGGGGCTCCCAGGAGTTGCCCACGGGCGGTCGCCCTCGGGCACCCGGCGAACCTCCGCGACACCAGCCCAGCTTATTTGGCGCCCACGAGGCGCCCACGGGCGATCACCAACCGGGCACCGGGCGAGGCCCCGCCACACTCCTCACCACCCACCAAACCACCCCAACCCAACCCGAAGGCCCAAATTTATCCTCGATTTCCAGGGGGGGGGGTCGGGGAACATCGAAAACAAACACATGGAACGCGTACCACCCCCCCCAACCCGAAATTCGGGTCAAATTCGGGTCAAATTCGGGTTGGGTTGGGGTGGTCTGCTAGGCAGTCCCACTCCACGCGGCGCGCTGCAATGGGCGGCCACGGCGGGCGCCGCGGGCGGCCGACGGCGGGGCCCCGACCGCGAGACCCAGCAGGCCCGCCCAGCGCACGGGGTGGCGCCCGCGGGGGCGCCCACGGGCAGCCGCCAGCCGCGCACCGGGCAGAGCACCGCCACGGCCCACCCGTTTGCACCGGGCGCCCAGCGGCGGCTGGAGGCCTGGCGTCGGGCACCAGCACCAGCCCACGGGCATGCCTCAACGGGCCCAGACATCGGGCGTCTCGAAAAAATCGGGGCGGAGGTTTTTCATAGTTTTTGGCCTCTCGGGGCCCTCGCCGGGCCTCAGGACCGTCAAAAAACGACTCGGGATGGAAAACCGGTCCCAGGGAAATGGTCGGGAGATCGGGGGCCCCTGTCTCGAAAAAATCGAGACGTCGGATGTCTGGGGGGGAAGGTGGCCCTAGATTTCGGTGTTGGCGGCAGTACGTCGGCCACCCAGGAAGCCCTAAATATTGCCACCATCATCGCCACGATCGGGACCACCTTCCCTCGGTGGAGGCACGCCGCCGATATTGGTGTTGGTGTCCGCCTAGGCCTCTCAAACGGGACACCAATTGGGCACCAGGTGCCACCAAAGCCACACCCGTCGAATTGCTTCTGGGAGCTCAAGAAAGAACCCTGAGGGCAAGCACCGTTTGCGCCGTCCGTGCCAGTGCTGCCGTCACCCGCGGCTGGACACATCCGTTCAGTAGGGCGGTGCACGAGATTCCGCGGTGGTGTGCGATGGTTCCAGCCAGGGGGATTGCGAGAACGCAAGTCACGACGTTATCGTGACCATGATTGTATATACATGTCGTGATGGGCATGGCTCCGATTATCAGTATGATGGTTTTGCTTTCTCAGAATCAAAGTAGTGATGATGGCGATCAGGCTGTAATTGACAACAGCATCTATTACTATCATGTGCCAGATGGCATCTGATGACAGTGAGGCTGATGAGAATGATGATGGTGACAGCGCTTGTGGCGAGGGCTCGAAGGGATGGTGGAAGGATGAGTGCATGTCTTGTGGAAGGTGGTCGGCACATCTGCAGTGGCATTCACGAACAAATTCGGCAGCGGCAGAATAAATGAAGTGACCATGTTCAGAGTTTACGCGAGGTGTCATTGCACATATGCCGCATCCGTTCTCGCCTTTTGTCCTGTAGTTTCACTCGACGTGCATGTACTTGTCATGTCTTGCCATTCCTCGCAGTGCCCAGAGTCATATATGCCATGACAGGCGCTCTGCGAATGCATTGAGGCATTGGTTGTGGAGACGTCACGTCAATTGGCGGATGCAGATGCCTCCGGCCAAGGCGCGCCGCCAAGTTGTTGTTGAGGATTGGATTGAATCTGATATGCAGTTTCGTCGTATGCGATCGATTCCTCTCAGGCCACTTCTGCATAGGGTGATTACCCTTATGTCCTCCGAGTTAATATTTTGGTGTGCGCCCTCGGCAGTCGTCGTACGCATTGCCGCCGCCTTCGCCGACTTCAGCGTTGCGATCTTTCGTGGCAGCTGTTTCGGAAAGAAGCGCACGCGCGGCGTACGTGTGCGTGTGTGCAATCAATCGGCGTATCAGTGGGGCGATCTTCGCGCTTGGATCCTCGCTCCGTCCGTATTCCAATGTGGGAGCGAGGCGTGAGCACAGTGCTAACACTTCTGGGCGCCGCACCCTGCCCCACCTCCTCCTACTGCTTCGCGAAGGCCCCCGCCGTGGGCTGTCGCTCCGGCGCCTGCTTTTTTGATCGAGCGAGCACTCTCCAGCACACCAGTCCGACATCAGGGGCGCGCTCGAGCACTGGATCTGAAGCTGGCTCCTGCTGCCCTCAGCGTGCGCTCTAGCATTGCATTTTTTTACACGGCGCGCCCTCCAGCAGCTCGAGCAGTCAACCGGGGTGTGGCGTCGCCGTCGCCGCCGAGGTCGTCAGCCGTTGCTCACCTCGCCGCCTTCGCTGGCGCCGTCGCCGCCGCCATCGCCGCCGTCGCCGTTGTCTTCCATCGCCAACGGCGACGTCGTCGGCGCCTTCGCCAGCGCCGTCGTCGTCACCGACGTCGCCGCCGTCGCCGTCACCACCGTCGCCTGCGCTGTCGTTGTCGCCGCTGGCGGTGTCGTCTTGCCCGCCGCCCTTGCCGTCGCCGTGGTCTGGTCCTACACCCCCACCAGCAGAATGCTCTGCTGACTGTGCTCCCACCCCTGCCTCCCTCTCTTCCCCCCCTTCACCCCCGCCCCTCTCCCCCGCCCCCTCTGCCCTACGCCGACCACTGCTGCTGCTGCTCTCGGGGAGCAGAGAACTTGCAGAAACACAAAACACAAACTCTCGGAGGTCCGCGCGGATTTCTCGGGTCGGCGCCGGACCCCCCTTGGCTGCCCCTCCGGCGCCGCCCCTGGCGCGCTCCGCCCGCCAGGGAGGGGCGACCCAGGAAATTTGCGCGGACCTCCAACAATTTATGTTTCTGTCACGGCTGGTTCCCTTACAGTGGAGCATATGATTACGACACCTCATTCCGAAAAACTGGGGCAGCGTTTCATAACCAACTTGCCAGAAAGCTGGCCCAGTTTCTTGAGCGCGTTCGCCCTTCAGCGTTAACACGATTCTTGGCCCAGGCTCGTCTTACGAGACTTCTGGAAAGCTGGCCCAGGCCTCTGAAATGATCACTTTCTTGATCACGGTTTCGGCTATCTGCTTGCTGCTGAGATGTCGCTCCCGCCTTGCTGATGGCTGCTGCTTCTCGCTGCTGCCACTGGCCGCCAGCTCCTGCTAGCTGCTGCCCGCCGCGTCTCCGGCTCTGCTGCCGGCTCTGCCGCTGCTGGCCTCTGCTGCCGCGGCGCCTGCCGCAGAGCCTCCGGGCGCCTCCGGAGCCGCGCGAAGGGGGTGCGTCGCGGCACGGCGCTGCGGGGACCTCCCAATTCGTGTGTCCGGGGCCTCTTCGGCTCCTCTCGGGGCGTCGCCCAAGGCGGGGCTGTGTCCATAGCCACCGCCTGGGGATGGAACTTCGGGGGCCCTGGCGGGCGGTGATCTTCAATGTCGGGGCGGGGCAGGTCTGTCCACACCCACCGCCTGCCGAGGTCCCCGAAGGTCGATGCCCCAGGCGGCGGTTCTGGGTAAATCACCGCCTCGCAGGGGCGGGGGCCCTCCACTAGGCTCTCTTGGGCTCGTCCTGGGCCCTGCAGGGGCTCTCTCGGGCAGGTGTGGCGCACTCGGGAGGGTCCTCCCTCGCAGGCCCTCTCGGGCCCTTCTCGCACCTCCCGAGGCAGATCCCGCCAGAAGTACCGAAAGTATAGAAGCTCGTGCATTGCGCACCGTGGACGCAAGGCAGCTGCAGCACGAGTTACCACCTCAAGGTGTGCGCACGCTCTGAAAGTATGGGCTCTTCCCGGAGCGGGAGCATCCTCTGGCCCCTTCAGTTCGAGAACTCGTGAACGGAATCGTGTAGTCTGGATGTGGCTTCGCATGTCCAGTTGGTCTCTATTGCGGGCGCTCTGGCGAGTACCCAGGGCGTCCCCTGTGATTTGTGGGAGGCCATTGCGGGGCCTCTGGGGATGTCTGAGGAGCTTACGACGGGGGAGTCTCCGACCTTCGGGTGGAGGGCGAGGGCGAGGTCGCGGCAGTGCAGGGCAGTATGCGGGGGTCCTGGCCTCGTCGTGGGTGGTCGTGTGGGTGGCCGCCCTCACCGCGACCCACCCTGCCACCCACCCACGCTGCTTGACGGAAAAGTCGGCGCCTGCGGGGGGATCATTGTATAATGGATTAGAAAGTTTCGCCTGCGGCGGGTTTCGTCAGGGCCGTGCAGACTGCCGACGATCCTGCCGGCTCCTCACTCTCACCCGCAATTGCGGAGCGCTACGTGTAGAGATCGCTCGATTGAGAGATCGGAATCCGATGCGACGCCAATGGCAAACCGAAACTTCCCCACCCCTTCTGCCCCAGCCTCCCCATTACCCGAAGGGTGGCCTTGTATGTACATGCAAGGGAGCCCACATGGAGGCGGATCATCACAGTTGATTGCCCAATCATCATTGCTCCGTTGGTTGCCCCGTGGTTGCTGCAGAAATGAGCACGTCTATCATCACCAACATCTGCCATTCCGCAGCCAGCTTGGATTAAGTCACGTAGACGCAATCCTCGTTAGCCCAAGTCGGATTGGTCGAGGCCGTTGGCCTCATCGTGCGCATCTCCTGCAACAGCCGGCTGCAACACGTGGTGTGTCCACGTCCATCCAGTTTTAGATCCTCTTGCCATGCCGCCTTCTGAAAGCGTGGGCTTGTATCCTGAATGTAAGGTCCTGAACCAGCCAATTGCCAGCCCGCGTCCTGTGGGTACATTCAGGATGGCGCGTTGCTTTGGTGGCGCGTTTGTTTCGTGCATACTCGTCCATGGTTCCTGTCAGAGCAACCTTTTGGATTTCAAGTATGCTCCAACGTTGTTGTCAGCGCCTTACGTCTTTCATGATAGATTGGTGTGTAGCTGGGAGCTTTGTGTTTAAAGGTAAGGGGCACATCCTGCCAGTGCGCGCGGTGGCATGCGTGAACTCCGGCTGTGCTTTCTCTTACAAAGAAATTGTGTATTGTGTTGGGTCTCGACGGAGATGGTTGCGTGGATTCAAGATTGAAATTGGCAGGCCGCGGACTCACCGTTACGCAGGCTGCGTCGAATGGTGACGTGCGCACTTGTTCTTGCGGATATTCGGTGGGTCCGTACGCCAGGCTAGGGCCGCCCAAGGGCGATGACAGTTGACATTGTTTTGGTGTTTATGGCGGGAGCAGTCTATCTGCTGCTTCCTTGATATCGAGCGTATCATGTTGTAAGCGCGACCAGCTTGACGATGCAGTTGTGGAGAAGCCAACCTGCCAAACAGAGTGTTCTAGGCTGTGTGCTCTCCTGCGTTCGCTGAAGCATGAGGCCCCTCACCGACATCACCCGATAAGTTGGGCGTATCTTGTTGTTTTTGATGCAGAGGGATGCTTTCACGTTGCGTTCACTCGCCTGAGTCTCATGCTGATCACCAGTCAGATATGTAAGGGGGTTATTGGACTTGGTCAGATCACTGATAGAACGTTCATTTCCATGTATTGGTGCATATGTGACTCGGAGCAGAAGAAGGACTCACAAACTAATGGTTTGCAGGACAAAGTGGCCGAATATACTGTTGTTGCAACATCTGCTGGGTGCTGGTCTCATCGCTTAGAAGCCGCAGGCAACTGTGGCTCTTGACCTGTGCGCAGAAAACCCTGCAACTGTCCGTGACAAGCTTTCTCGCTTAAAGTTTAGGCACGTTTTCTTGGACGCAGAGGGGTGCGAGAGAGCCAAGGCAATCCATCGTATACGTTTGCGACTCAGGCGCTGCATCTTGCCAAGCAGTGGGGCTGCAGAAAATTGGCAGAACCAGTTGGACTTGACCCCCCCGCATAGGTTGAAGACTTTACAAGCGCGTATAGATGGGGCGCTCGTTGTTTGCTGTGTCGCGGTGCGACAGCACGTTCGAAGTAATTTGGACGATTCCTTTGGGCATTTGTGAAGCATTTCTGGACAGATTGCAGCGACATTGGCTTCGCACTGCAGCTGAACGCAGCAAAGCGATCACTAACAGTGATGCACATGTAGCTAAAGAGACTTTGTTGTACATGTGAGCGTCACATGGTCAGCCCCATCATGCGCTAATTAGCCGGACAGGTGCATGGTTCGATGGATAGGTCGGTCGGGCTGTAGGTGAATTTCCAATCCGGCGCGAAGCCAATCGCACGACGAAAGTTGCACCAATCCTTCCAACCCCTGGATCCCCCGGAGGGTGTTCTATGAGACCGTTTATGTTTTTGCTTGGGGCATGACGGGCGTCATGGCCCCCACTCCCCCCCACCCCCCCACCTATGACGTAACGCTGCCCCCCCAGTGTGCTCGGGGCACTGCCGCCGTGCGCATTGGGATCCGCGTGGGTGTCCGCGTAGGAATCCGCATAGGAGTCTGGTCCGCAGTCGTCGTCGTCGTCGTCGTCGTTGTCGTCGCCCGTGGCTTGTCGCTCGTCGCTCATAGTCGTCGTGCGCGCGGACGCGGCTGAAGCTTGTTTTTTATTCCGGGCCGATGACGGCAATCATCTAGGGGGGGGGGTGGAGGGGGTCGATGACGTCACATTTCGCGCCGGCGGGGTATGGGTCTGCCTAGGAATGACGGAGGACGGGTAGCGCCAGCATGTAGGTGGCGATTTTGCACCACAACGCTTGTGTACACCACACTGCCTGCGTGCACCACACCGCCTGTGTACACCACACCGCCTATGTACACCACAGCAGCCGCGTGCAACACAGCGTCAGTTTTGTGCCACCGTGCCTGCGGGCACATCAGCTCTTGCGCACACCACAGCGCTTGCGTACACCACATCATCCGTGTGCAACACAGCACCAGTGTACACCACAATGCCTGTTTGCATTGCAGTGCCTGCGTGCACCACGGCGCCTGTGTGCACCACAGCCACCGTGTGCAACACAGCATCACTGTTGTATAAAACAAATCCTTATGACAAAATGTAGCGCTTGTGGATTCCACAGAAAACAATGCAAACCAATCCGTATGGACAACGGAGCGCCGCTGGAATCTACGAGTCCGCCCGAGTCCGCCCGTATCACCCTAGCTCCTCCCATCTGCGTCCAGGAGGCTCCAGGTAAATTGGCCGACCGAGAACTAAGTGGACCGATTCAATAGACCATTATGCGGTGCGCGCTGAGATGCGCACGTGCGCTGTAGCGCCAACCCGCACCACAGGGGGTAAGGAGGATGAGGAGGAGGACAAGGAGGAGGATGAGGAGGAGGAGGAGGAGGAGAAGGAGGAGGAGGAGGTGGTGGAGGTGGAGGAGGGAAGAGGGAATAACGTCGCATTCGATTATCAGCCTTTTCCTGGCGTGGCGTTTGGTTGTCCGCAACAGATCCTCACGTACATGTTCCTTCTACCTGTCTTATGCACGCAGGCGTTGTGGTGTACACTAGCGTTGCGTTGCACGCGGATGTTGTGGTGTAGACACGCGCTGTGGCGTGCACGGGCGTTGCGGTGCACGCAAGCACCGTAGTGTACACAGGCGCTGTGTTGCACATGGTAGCTGCGGTGTACGCGTGTACACCAGCGCTGTAGTGTACGCAAGCACTGTGGTGTACAGAGGAGTTGCGTTGCACACGGTTGTTGCGGTGTACGCAGGCGCTGTGGTATACACGCGCGCGCGGTGTGTTGCACGCGAGCGTTGCGGCGTACACAGGCGCAGTGGGGCATATCGCCACCCACATGCTGCTCGCGTCGTCGTCGTCGTCGTCGTCGTCTCTCGTCGCTCGTCGCTCGTCGCTCGTCGCGTCGCGCGCGCGGGCGCGGCTGCGGTGCCGGAGCCACACGGCGGGGGGGGCGTTACGTCATACCCCCCCTCGCCCCCCCCCATGACGCCCGTCATCGCCGAACATAAAGAAACGCTCTCTATGGGGTAGGTTATCTTGGGGCCAGCGCCAGGTGTGTCTGCATTCTTCTTGCACACATTGAGCCCGCAGAGCGGGAACAGGAGCGAGCCCCCTCGGTCGAACAACCACGCTCGTGTGGCATGTTGTTGTGTCGGCAGGTCCCTGACCAACATCCCTCGAACGCCCAGATGCTTCATTCCCCATACAAGATTCCCCAGAAGGATGCTGGGCCCATGTTGAGACCCCTATTGCATCCCATTACGAGCGCATCAACATCCTGCATACACTGTTCCCGCATTCCCCATGGGGTATTCTTGGGGATCCGCGACGCACGTGGCTCATTGATGCAAGCCCGCATCATAGTCCGTCTCCTTTGCCAAAGTTGCTCCCCCCCCTCGATGGGCTGGCCAACGTCAGGGTTTCATTTAGACTTCGTGTTGTCTGTAGCGGAGGCGGACGTCACGCGGCCCCTGGCGGCGGCCTTGGCGGCCGTCGGTGCCCCGAGACAACACGCTACGGGCATGATCGGCAACGCCTCGAGTTAACAAGGACGCCCTCGTCCAGCCATCCCCGCGAAGCTCGACCTGTGAAACAATTGTAGGTATTATGTTATGCGGTTTATTGACGCCCTGGGTCCCAGGTTGTTCCTCGGACCGGTGCCGGCCTATGCAGTATGACGTTTCCGTCGACGTGGGTTCGAACAGTCATGTTCGAAGGTTGCAGAGCAAAAGCTATAGCAACAATTGATGTTCCCACTGCTAGTACTGAAAGCCTTGCGCCAACATTGACTCGATAGTACCCTTGTCGGGGGCAGCAATTCGAACACATGATCGAAGCCCTTTTTCCGCCCCCCCTCCCTGCATTTGGCCTCGTCTCCCGCGGCCCCTCTTCGCTTTGCACCACTTGCCCGAGATGTAGAGCAAGCGCGTTGAAACAACCACGTCCGTGACGATTTTGATGCAAATCCAGTGTCGCAGCCATGAGGTTCTTGCACGTTGTTCGTTAACGTGCCAGCCGACCCAACAACCTTTTTCGAAACGAGTTTCCCTCGGCTGCTCACCGTCGGACCTTGGGGCAATTTGCGAGCAACGAGAGTGAATAGAAGATCAGCGTTCAGCAACTGACTTGAACCACGGGTCGTGCGCTATGAATTTCCCCGGGTATGCAGCCGAAGCCGTCGTGGGCGTGCGCAGGCCCCTCTCCCTCATCCGTGCCGCCCTCGTCCCCTTCGACGACCCTCTGCTCTCAGAGCTTCGCGCCGCCCCCCTCCACGCCTCCCTTCCCCTCCCCGCCTCCCCACGTCCCCCACTGCCCTCCACCTGCCACCGTCTCCTCCCGCGTGCACCACCTCCAGGGGGCCGCTGCCTGCCCCACCTGGCCCTCCTCAGGGCCAGGAGGAGGAGGAGGAGGAGGAGGAGAAGGAGGGAGGAGGAGGAGGAGGAGCAGTAGTAGTAGTAGTAGTAGTAGTAGTAGTAGTAGTAGTAGTAGTAGTAGTAGTAGTAGTAGTAGTAGTAGTAGTAGTAGTAGTAGTAGTAGTAGTAGTAGTAGTAGTAGTAGTAGTAGTAGTAGTAGTAGTAGTAGTAGTAGTAGTAGTAGTAGTAGTAGTAGTAGTAGTAGTAGTAGTAGTAGTAGTAGAGTAGAGGAGGAGGAGGGAGGAGGAGGAGGAGCAGGAGGAGGAGGAGGAGCAGGAGGAGGAGTAGTAGTTGTAGTAGTAGTTGGCGGAGGAGGAGGAGGCGACTCTCCGCGGTGGTCCGCTCGTTCACCGGCTCCCTCGCCCCGCTCGCCGCTCGCACCGATGCCCGTGCGCTCACCCCCTCGCCCCCGCACGGAGGCCTGCCCCTGCCCGACCCTCCTCCTCCTCCTCCTCCTCCTCCTCCTCCTCCTCCTCCTCCTCCTCCTCCTCCTCCTCCTCCTCCTCCTCCTCCTCCCCCTCCCCCTCCCCCTCCCCCTGCCACGGCAGACGCGTGACGTTCCGCAGCACCGCGACGGCGCGGCAATCGTGGTGCAGTCGAGGTCGATGCGTAGGTCGGCCCTGCCAATTCAGGGGTACCCTTGCGTGCTTTGTTTCGCGGCCCAGGCCTTTACATTCCTATGGGGACGTGGCCCTCGGAAGGGTCTCGTATCCTCTCGCGTGTCCTGCCCAGTCAGCCCCGACTGTCACCGGGAGCCGGCCTCCGAGCATTGTCTTTGTTCTCAGGGGAGCAAGAAGCCCTGACTATGATGCACTCTCAGATTTCCCATGCCGACAGGCTTTCTGTTGGAGTTCGGAGTTTTTGCCGCACGGGCTCCCGAAACGTGGGCGCCTGCATCTTCCTGGAGCCCGGGGACGCAGCGCGAGCCAATCTCGTCGTGCCGTGACTCTCGCCCTATACCCGAAGCGCTCCCCCTTGTTTACCAGCCTGGAACATATCCCTATCCCTATGCTGGACATCCCCTCATCACGATGCCAATCTTAGGGATTCCCTTTTCTTTTTTGAGGGCGCATCCCTAAGACTGTCATCGCCTTTTGGCGTGTCAATCTTAGGGATAGGGATACGTTCGAGGCTGGTAACCCTGCTCCCCTCTTGAGCCCCGGGCGCCCGCCCGGAGCAGGCGCCGCCCTGGCCAGGCAGGAGCTCCTGCGGAGCGCGGAGGGGCGGGCGCTGCGGCAGGATGTCCGGCTCTCCCGTGCGTGTCCGCGCGCCCCCCCCTCGAGCACTGACAAAATTACGTTGCATCTTCGGGGGGCCTCGACTGTCCCCAAAATTGGTGTCTTTTCTTGTGCCCAACGCGGGCTCGATGCGGACTCGACGCGGATTTGGCGCGGATTTGGCGCGGATTCGTCACGGAATTGACACGGATCCGACGAGTCCGACACGGATTCGACACGGATTCGACTCGGACATGGCCGCGACGGGACAGACAAGGCCCCCCGAGGATGCAACACAAACAAAAATCACGATGGGAGGTTTTTCACATTTTTCGGTCTTGGGGGGGGCCCTCACCGGGCTTCGGAACCGTCCAACAAACGTTCCAGGACGAGAAACCGGTCCCGGGGAACGGGTCGAAACCTCTTCAGGGGTCGACGTCATGGAAAAGTCATGACGTCGGGGGCCTGGGGACTTTGTGCGGATTGTTTTCTGGTTTCCATTCCGTTTTTTTTCTCGCTTCGGCCCCTGGGGTTCACGGAGTCCCACGGTTAATGTATGCGGTTCAGGATTGTCAAGGGCGCAGCAGTTATGTCGATTCGCGGTGGTTCAAGCCCCAGGAATGGCGTTCAGTGGACATGAATTCTTACATGGGCCTGCGAAGAGGGAGTTCGTAGGGAGATTTGATTCCAACATCGTTGATGGGTCTTGTCTTGGGTTTACACTGGGCCTTCTCCTTCTCAGCATCTCCTCATCCTCCGCATCTTTTGTGCTTTCCATAGTTTGATGGTCTGGCATGGTTGATTTAGTTTACACGCCTAGCCATTGTGCCGATGATGATGCGAAGCTTGCTCGTCTGGCAGCTTCTTTGGTACCGCATCATCTTTTCATCAATGCGATCGCGGATGCTCTGGCCACGGCGCGGGCGGCGAGCGCCCAGATCCCGGCCGATGTTGATCGTGAAGTTGTTGACTTTGAAAATTTGGCTTGCCGCATCTTGCGACGTAATGCTTCCATCATCTTGGAACGAGCCAGGGGCCCCAAAATCCATAGCGCAAAGTGCATCCTGCCCAGTTCCCGCGAGTGGTCCGCCGGCGGCAGGTTGTGATTGCATTTCTTGAGGCTTCCAGCCATAATTCCGAGCCCGTAGCCAAGGACATCTGGAGGTGCACAGCGTGCAACAGACTGTTGCAGCCCGCCGCCCGCATGTTTTTCCGAACGGTTCGTTCGAAGTGTGCGGCCCTTGTGCACACTGCGCCTCCCACGCCTGAGCGTCCACGGCGGGCTAGAGGGCGTCGAACGGGGGGCTCGCAGGTCGGCAAAGCACCAATCGATGATGACCTTTGGCGTAGGCTTGGAATGACCGACCCCCCTCGACGTTTGCCTGCCCCTGTCTACGTCCACGGGCACGGGGTGCATGACAGCCACGCTGCCTGGAGCAAAGGCCGCTTCACCTTCTGTGGCTTGTGCGGATGCTGGGCGGAATCTAAGCCTCGCGATTTGCGCATGGAGTGCCGAGTCGCCTCGAGTGGCCCGGCGGCCCTCACGGCATATAGCTGTGAGGCGCTGGGGAGGCTCAGGCAAGGCAAACCCCTTAAGAGAAAGTGTCTTGATTGGGGGAGCGCCGTCGATACGTTCATCGACTTCTAATTCACAATTTTCACCTGCTTGGCAATCTCTTCGGAAGCTTGACGAGCAGCGTTCCACAGCAAAAACAAAAATCCATATCTTTCTGCTCCCGTCCTCGCCCTCATCCGCGGAATCCCCTGGATGTGAGATCTGTTCCCTTTCTATCGGTAACCGATGAGGGTTATATTCAAATTCATTGGGAACCTTCTGGATTTAGGATCTACGCCCTCTGTGTCCAATCATATTAGGCTCCGAATTCATTAGGGATCCTCTGGATCTGGGGTCTGCACGTTTCCTCTTGAAATTCCATCAGCAGCATGATCAAATTCAACAGGAATTCGTTGGATCTGGGTTCTCCTCGGATCTCCTCCGCTCCTACTGAAAATCCGATGGATACCTGATCCACAAATTACTAGGAGTCCTTTGGATCTGGGATCTGTTCCGTTCCGATTGAAGTACGATTCGGGCCCTTTTCAAATCCAATAGGGAGCGTTTGGATCTAGGATCCTGTCCGTTTCTATTGCATTTCGCTTCGCGTCCCATCCAAATTCAATTGGAATCCTTGGGATCTGGGATCACTTCCATTTTCCCATTGGAATCGTATGAGGATCCTACCCATACGTAATCGGTATCCTCTGGATCTGATACCTGCGCTCTCCCTATCGACCGCTTGTTCGGAACTTGACCCAAGGGAATATGATTTGATTGGATCTGGGATCTGCTCCGTTTCTATTTAAATCCGATTCGGATCCTTGTCAAGTCCATCGGAATTCTCTGGATCTGGGAGCTGTTTCATTCCTATTGAAACTTTAGTAGCGTCCTACTCAACTTCAGTAGGGCTCCTTTGGACCTTGGATCAGCTCCGCTTGTTTTGAGATTGCCTGGGATTCCATCGAAATTCAGTCGGCGTCCTCTGGACCTGAGATCACTTCCATTTCCTTTTGAAAGTGCATCAGGATCCGATTCAAACTCAATAGGCATTATCTGGATATTCCATCTGCTCTTCTCCTATTGCAAGCCCATCCGAACTCAGATCAAATGCAATACGATTTCTGTGGATCGGTGATCTGTGTCGTGCTTGTGAAATCTGCTTGGAATCCGGTTCAAGTGTTTGAGGATTCCTGTGGTTTTGGGATCTGCTCCGTTCCTATTAAAGTCAGAGTAGGGTCCTGCCGAAGTTCAACAATCGAGGCCCTCTGGATCCAGGAACTGCTCCGTTACTACTGCAGTGTGCTTAGAATCCCATCGAAATTAAATCGGAATTCTCCAGATCTGGGTCCACTTTCATCTCCCACCGAAATCGCACGATAATCCGATGTGATTTCAATCGACATGTTCTTGATCTGAGAAATGTTCCTTTTCCGATTGGGATTCGAGGATCTTGACGGGGAGGGAGGATGGGGAGGAGTGGCCTCTCGACCCTCTCCTCCTCATTATCCTCTTTACCCTCTGCTGGCAGGTCCTCTTCCGCACTCTCCCCCTTCTCATCCGCCTCCCTCCGTCTCCTCCTTCCCCGCCGCAGACCATGTTTGAGATATGCGGATGAGGAGCAGGAGCAGGAGTGATAAAAGGAGGAGGCGGGTTAGGATAATTGGTGGGAGAAAGCGGAGGGTGAGGAGGTTGGAGAGGGGGAGGAGGAGAAGGAGGAGGAGGAGGAGAAGGAGGAGGAAGAGGAGGAGGAGGAGCAGCAGGAGGACCTCTGGACCTCTCGACCCCGTCTTTTTGGTTGATCTCGCATGAGCGTTGCATAGCAGTCGTGCTTCTCTTCCCCGTTTCGTTGTTCCTTTTTTGTTTCGCTCTCTCTCTCTCTCTCGATGTCTCTGTCTTTCTCTCTCCCTCTTTCTGCTTCCTCCTCCTGCCTCCCTCCTCTCCCCTTTCCCTCCGACTTTATGGACAGGCAGGAAGAAGTGGCGATCGCACGTGCGCTCGCGCATCTGCGCGCCGCCACTTGGCGACGAGGCGAGCGCGGCTCCCATAGGTGGCCCCCCAAAACTGCCTCGCACGGAGCGGAGCCCGGCCCCCTGGGCCCTATTGCCATGAGGAGGAGGAGGAGGAGGAGGAGGAGGAGGAGGAGGAGGAGGAGGAGGAGGACGACGAGGAGGAGGAGGAGGAGGACGAGGAGGAGGAGGAGGAGGAGGAGCAGGGCCCTCGCACGGGGCGGGCACGCGCGCGGGGCACTTTTGCCCCATGGCCGGCGCCCCCTTTTGGCCAGCGGCCGTGCCCGTCCTTTGTTTGCCCTGGGCGTCGGCACCCACGCAACCCCCGCGTGGGAGTGCCGCACCCAGGCCCAGACCCAGGAGGAGAAGGAACAGGAAGGAGGAGAGGAGGAGGAGGAGGAGGAGGAGGAGGAACAAGGAGGAGGAGGAGGAGGAGGCGGAGGAGGCAGAGGAGGAGAGGAGGATAAGAGGAGGAGAAGGAGGAAAAGGATGAGTGACTCATCAAAGGCCCTCTTCCCTCCTCCTCAGGGAGGGAGTGCGGAGAGAGGAGAGCGCAGGAGGGAGGAAGGAAGGCGAGAAGGAGGAGGAGTGATGAGTCTTCAGTGTGGTGCGAGGAAGAGGGGAGAGTGCGGGAGGAAGGAGGATGAAGAGAGAGGATTGAGGAGTCAGTTCGCCATCCGCCGTCCTCCATCCTCCTCAGGCCTCCTACGGAGAACGGTGCAGAATGGCGGATGGACTCCTCAAGCTTCCTCCTCCTCCTCCTCATCCTTCAGGCCAGCTGGGCATGGAAAAACAAAAGAAGGAACAACCAACACAAACAAACAAACCGAAGACCCAGAACCACAAAAATACAAACAATTTGTTTGGCGTCACAGCGCGGCAAGGGCAGTCCGCACGCGTGACCAAACAACCTGTGCAAGCACGCGCGTCCAACAGAGAATAACCAGCAACAAACAACATACAGCATTTTTTTCTGTGAGAGCGGCGGTGTGGAAACATGTGTTTGTGTGTGGCGTTTGTTTGTAAGTTGATTATTGTTTTTTCAATGATGCGGATGTGTGTCTTTGTTTACAGTCCTTGTTTTTTTCCACAGCCATCCTCCACCTCTTCCTCTTCCTCCTCTCTCCCTCATCGTGGAAGGTAGACCTGGTGCGCTGGAGTCGGAGGGGAAAGAGGATGAGGAGAAAGAGAGGATGAGGAGAAGGAGCAGGACGACGAGCAAACGATCAGTGCAGGTTTTGTGGTTTTGGTGGTTTGGGGGCGTTGAGAGGCAACCATACATATACATGTTCATGTATAGACATACGCACATGTATATATACATATCTATATATATACATATATATGTATAGATGTATAGATGCGTGTATGTAATTATGCGCAATTAAAGGTCTGAGCTGCTCGCGAGCATCAAGAGGACAGGGCTCGTGGGAGGAGAGATGGGCGCGCCCCGACAGGAGCTGGAGCAGCTGGAGCGACGCCCCCACCGGCGCGAGCCGAGCCGGGGGCTCAGGGAGCCTCCTCGTTCCTTTCCTTTGCGCTCTGCACTGATCCTCCCCCCCTCGAGGTGCCAAGTTTCGGCACGTCCTGCGGGTAGCGGTTCCGCCGGCATCAGCTGGCTGTTGCCATGGGTGTTGACGGGCGGGGCGAGGACAAAGCGAATTTTTGCCAGAGCGTTTTGGAACGCTCTCAGATTGTTCCTGAGCGCTTTGAGAGGGCCGCGGCGCCCGAGACATCCCCCAGAGCCGCTGGCCCTCAGAGATTCTCGATGCATCAGGAATGGAGAAATACGAAGACACAAGGAATCGTCGACCGCCAGGAATATATAGGGAAATATGGGATGTGGGGGAGACAAGGCACAGAAAACATGAGAAAGTACTGGGGATCCTGTGATTCGTGCGTATTTATTTGTGTGTCCCTGGGCCCCCCCCTCAGTTTAATCCCCCCCCCCCGATTTTATCCTCGTCCTGGGCATCGTCTCAGGCGTGTCCCTGGCCCGAGAGGTGGTCCACGGATTTGCAGAGGAGGCCCCGCGGCATCCCGCAAACATACCCTTCTCGAGGTCCGCAGGGCCCCAGGGTCCCCATCATTGCCGGACACGCTGGGGACACCTGGGATACCTGGGTCCCCCCGGACATCCCGCGTCTCGAAGCAATCGAGACGATTGTTTTTTTATAGTTCTCGGCCCCTCGGGGCCCTTCTACTGGGCCTCGGGACCGTCAAGAAGGAGCCGGGATGAAGAGTCCCGTCCTGGGGAAGTGGTCGAGGAGAGGTCGGGGCCCTGCATTTCAGGTCGAGGCGCCGGATGCCTGGGTGGGATCCCTGGGGCCAGGGACGATCTCCCTGAGAGCCGACGGCGCAGACCGACCGGAGCCTGGGGCCAAACCGCGGCCCACAGCTCCAGGCCTGAGCTTTCTGCGGCACCCCTCCAGCCGGCTCGATCTGCGAGGGCCCCGCGGCCCGGGCTGAGGGGGAGGACGCTCGGCGCGAGAACCCTGCGCGGCGCCCGGATCTCAGGGCTCGGCACCCCGAGGGTCAGCGGCAGCAGCACTCGGCAGCAAGTCGTCGTGGGAGCGTTGCGCACCGTCGTGCCTCCACACGTCTGAGTGCGCTGGCGTCGACCAGCGCCTGGTACAGCCGATGAGATCGCATCGATCCGCGCCGCTCTTCCATCAGCCTCGATCCGGGTCGCTCAGCGTCAGCCCGCAAGAGCCAGCAAGAAGAATTGAGGATGACGATTGATAAATGACCGGGGGTCGTGTTCACGCGGCGGCGCCCGGGACGACGATTAGAAAAAACCGGCCGCGGGCTGGAAAACTATGTTTTCAGTCGTTCTCCTCCAGTCAGAAAATTATGCAGAAATAGCAGAAAACTATGTTCTTAATCGTTCTCTTCCATCTTTTTACTAATCGTCATCCCGCATTACTGGTGCTCGAGGGAGGCTCCCGTGCGTTGTCGCCGAACCGGGCCGGCGGCAGCAGCAGCATGCGCTCCCCAACCCCCCGCGCGGCGCAGAGGCCCCGGCCCCGGAAGCACGCCGACGTCCTTCGGCGCGGACGCCCGCGGAGAGCCGCGGGCCGCGCGGGCCGGCGAGGTGCCGTCCACGCCCGGCCCACCGGCGAGGAGGCCCCCGCCTGCGCTCTCGCGGCCGCGCGCGCGCCATGCGGCAGACGGGTCTCGAGGGAGGCGGGCCCCTTCGGCGGTGAGCTCGAGTTATCTCAAGGAACTTATCATCATCTCGAAAAAATAGCAGAGTACCAATCGTTTTTCGGACCCAGCTCTGGCAGCAGACCGGGTTTCGGAATCTAGCTACTTGAGACTAGCGCGTCTGATGATTCTCTTCCGATTGCTGGAGCTTCGTGTGCCCTCGCAGCTCCGTCTGCGGAGTGCGCCATCGTCGATGTGCGTCGCTTTCGGTCATCGTCGGCCAGCGTCGGCTAGCGTCGACTCGGCGGCGTGGACGACTTGGCGTTGAGTCGCGTGGAGCAGCGTCGATTCGCAGGGGCCGGCAAGATGGTGTGGGAGGCTCTCGTGAGCTGCTGCAGAAGACGGGCCTTGAGGGAGGCGGGTCCCTCGGCTGCAGCTGTTGGGAGGCTAAGCTCGGTATCGGCGTGGATAGATCCGCCGTCCAGATCGTCCAACTCTGGCCGAGCCCTGCTTAATCGGGCCATGTGCCGCTCGATCCGGATCAATCCCAGGCTTACTCTGGAACCGTTTGGCTCCTTGTTCCCTTCACTGGGCTGAGTATCTTAATCGTTCCAGAGACCTCCCAGGATTTGCTTTTCAGGATCCTGAGTTGTTTCATTGGTTTCGCCCTCCCTGGGCCCTCCCCGGGCCCCGGGACCGTCAAAAAACAACATACTGAAAACGTGGTTTTGCGAGAATCCTTCGTGGTCCACCCGGTTGCCTTGGGGCCCGCTTCTTTCACGCCAAGTTCGCGGCCGCATGCGACGAGTGAGCCGTCATTCCTCCTCCTTCCCCAGATCTCCTGCGTATCGGGCAAATCAGGGCAGAGGCTTTTGGCCCTTTCCGCCCTCTGGGGGCCATCGCTAGGCTTGCCGCGGGACGGTTAAGACACGGATGCTGAAAAACTGGCCTTGGGGGACGGGTCGGGATGTCCAGCAACTGCGTTAAAAACAATACGACGGATTTTTGGGTCCCCCTCCTTTACACACGCCACCACCAACGAAGGCGAGGCGAGGGGTCCCCGAGAAAGGGGGCCCTGGAGGCCTTTTCCTTCGTGTTCGGTCGTCCAGGGCCGCCCCATGGCCCAGGGATCTTCAAAAACGATTCCGGGTGAGAAGCTAGTCGCGGACCAAGCCTACGATTTGTTTCTTGCCAGCTTGGGGTATGGCCCCAAGCCTTTCGATTAGCAGCGCCTTGTCTCGGTGCCGATCTTAAAAGCAGTCCTTCCTTCGTAATTGGCTTGTCAATCTTACGGGCAGGGATAAGGTCGAGAACGTGTCCTCAGCGTGTCGTGCCGCCAGTTCTGGCCCACCTCTCTTCGGCGCGATTGCAGGGCATCGCGTGTCGTTAGGGCCCCCTCGACGAGAAGCTAAGCATGCGTTACTGATTATATTCCTCCTCGCCTTCATCCCTGGATGGCCGATATCATGGGATGACGCAGTCGGTACGGATAAGATGAGAGATATTTGAAGCAGTAGTGATGGTACGACGCTGACGGACATGATCACGCTTGCCAGGATATCCACGAGTTGCGATGGACGTATGACATTGTGTTCCTGTTGGGTACGCGCTTACCCTTGTGCTCAGCACGGAGTGACAAACTTACATGTTTTGTTGCGTTGTGTTGGATTATGTTGGGGGACTGGCCCTGGCCATGCCACAGCCTTTGCGTGTGTCATTCCTGTTCGTGTTGACAAGCTGGGCAGGCACGAGCAGAGTACTTGGCAGCCGTCGCCTATACCCGTGATCGCCACGAACGGCAGCGTCCACAGCAGGAGGAGTACAATACATTCTTCGCTGTCCTCGGTCAGCGCACCCTGCGTTCATGCTTGCTGAATCCTGCAACACATTCGACCACTACCTCGCTTTCATACTACCAGCATGTCCGGTATCAGTTCCCTTTCGCTTGTGTACGGGGCACTCTGCCTTGCAAGAGATAGCTCGTGGACGCGACCCATATCTGCAATCAGGTATATCAGCACAGATGTATGTGTGAACGCGTGTACGATGAGGTGATTGAGGTGATTGAGTGATGTATCTTCCTCGAGCCTGCCATTCCGACTGCGAGAATCCAGAAAAGTTGGCCTCACAGGGTACAGGGTAGGAGCGCTTGTGCTCCCCGGGGCAGGTGCTCCGCTGTTTCTCTTGCCGCCGCGGTCTGACCTGAGAACGCAGCGAGTGGGGGGCGAGCGCCCTCATTGTTGCAACGGGCACCGATCAGACCGTGCGCTCTCATTCCCCCACTATCACTTACTGGTGTGATTCCCTCTCTCTCTATCCCTGTCCCTCTCGCTCGTTCTCTCCTCCCCCGTCCCTCCCCGTCCGCCCCCAGCTCCTTCCCTCGCCTCTCCTCCCCCCGCCCCCTGCCCCCC